TATATATATATATATACACAAATATATACATTCAAATATAAAAAGGGGAAGAAAGGGGAAGTCTGGTGATCATAAAAGTGGAGGAAACCAACTCCAAACAACAATTCTATGTTTCATTTTAGAACTTTCTGTATATAAATTCTCATTTGCTAAAAAGCTCTAAACTCGTTTTACAACATGAAGTGGGGTGACTTATTGATCTTATAGCTGCAATGTTTGAAATGTAATGTCAAAGTCCTTACTATCTAAACATTGTTATGTCCTTGGATTACGTTTTTGTTCTAATCCAAATAGGTGATAGGTGAAGATGAGCAGGGTAACAAAAGAAGAGTAATTTATGGTGGGTAGACTTTGTGGATAAAGTAATGTCACCATTTTCTATGGGATGAGCGATAAATACACTTTTTAAATCAAATGTTAGTGTCCTTAGAAGGGCTGATATATGAGTAAAATGGACTTTGAAGTTAAGCTACAAGTGAAACACAAAACACTTGTGCATGCAAAAACTGAAACAAACTCCACCTACTGACATGGATACTATAAAGTTGGGTTATGCGCCGACCATTGACTGTATGGTACGGACAGGAGGCTAACCTACATTCAACATGCGAGGGCTCACATTGCTGTGTTTTCTGGGATTCGTTCTCACAGTATCATCTGCTACAAAGGTAAAACTGCTGATTTTCCTCTAATTTTAGAACTACAAATTATTTTAAACTTTCATTTTGATTTATTCTAGCAGCATTGACTAAATCTGCTGTGGTAAAATCGGAGAAAATACTGAAAAAGGAAACAACTAATTGATGAAATATACTGCTAATATTCCTTTTTGATATCGTTACGGTAATTTAAATGTACTTGAATGTTACTTTTGCAGTTTTCAAATTTATGGTAGCAAAGAACGTAGCAAAAATTTGAATATGACCCAATTGTCTTATTGAAACACTTTTGCCTTTAAATTGTCTAGTACTTACAATTTACAACGCTGAATTATTAAACATGACACATTGTTTTCTTTGTAAAAATTGTTTTTCATAGCATAAATTATGTGATATTTAGATGTCACAATGTTTGTATCCGGTAATAAGACAAATCCTAAATGACATTTCTTTGCTTCCATACATATTGCAACCTTAATTTTAATTAAAAAAAACTTAGATTATATTAAACTAGAAAACATTTAATTTCCATAGTTTTTAAAAGATCAGAAGAGAAGATAGGCTGACAGAATGTATCATACTGATACTATTTCTTTTAATATTTCAATATATATGTTTTTTTTATTTTTATCAAATGTACATTTTTCTTTGCAAATAAACTGTCAACCAGATAGCAAGCAAACACTCTTTGGAACTAATCATTCTAAAATCACATTTCCAGTGGCCAGCAGGAGGTCAAATACCAATGCTGAATCCTTCTGGCTTTAACACCACAACCAGCTCTCCAATGGTAGGTAGACTTTGTGAGAGAGTCAAATGTTCGTGGTAATAGGATCACCTGCTTTTGACAGTTTGAATGACTTGGATTACATTTGATCTTCAATTCAAAGAAAAGTTCTGGTTGGGGCTGCCACTACATTGAGCCCACAGAAAATGTCTCTGGACTGAACACCTATATATTTTCACTGATAACTTGGTTTTCAAACATTTCACTTCATTAATTCTTTCCACAAAGTCTGGCCTCAGACCTTAATGTTATAATTTGAATTACATCAAGGGTTAAGATACATGTTATCTTTATAAAACACATATTGTTCTACTGAAGTGTAACAGCCTAAATTATTCTGCAGTTGTAGAACACAATTAAATATATATTTTTAGTATTATCTAGTGTCTCAATTTGTATTATTCCTGCAGTCACAGTTACACTTTACTTCCTATTTAAGTGCAATGCCTTTCTATTTCAGGTAAATGAAACCAGACCAATTGATCCAAATGCAGAGGTATGTAATCATGAAGTACAATAACAATTAAATATCTGACAGTTTATTTGAGAGGCAGGACTCATATTAAAGTGCAACAGACAAAATGATGACTTGGAGACCAATTCAGAGACAAAGTGTTAACATAGAAAAATGTAAACTTCAGATATTTTTGAAGTCTCAATTTGTATTATTCCTGCAGTGACAGTTACACTTTACTTCCTATCTAAGTGCAATGACTTTCTATTTCAGGTAAATAAAACCGGACCAATTGATCCAAATGCAGAGGTATGTAATCATGAAGTACAATAACAATTAAATATCTGACTGTTTATTTGAGAGGCAGGACTCATATTAAAGTGCAACAGACACAATTATGACTTGGAGACTAATTCAGAGACAAAGTGTTAACATAGAAAAATGTAAACTTCAGATATTTTTGATTAACTATGTAATGTACTCACCATAAAGCGTTGCTTATAATTTTTCCCCATCAGTGGACTGGTACTCGTACTAATGTTGACAATTCGGCTGGGTTTCCTCCAAGTGCTGAGGAAGAAGACACCCAGGTAAGAAACTGTTCCGAATTTGATGTTGCATGTCAGCTGGCACCTAATCTGAAAAGAGCAATTACTAATCCTGTTAACATGGTTTTATATGTACATACATGTGTGGCTGTTATGGTGATAAAGTAAAAATAATTACATTTGTTTTTAGCAGTAATATAATGTATACAACACACAGCAAAGGGCTCAAATCAACAGACATAAAACCATTTTTCTTGATCGCAAAAGTCTTGATCGAGAGTATATTACCGCCATCAGGATGGTAACAACCTCATTCTTAACGATCATTTTATTTCTGTTAGGCTCTGCTCTTTTCATGAAAATAGAACTGAAACTATTAGTAGATTACTCGATCAGAATACAGATAAATCGATAACTAGTCTGATAATCATTTTAGGCTTTTAATCAAAGAAGCTAAACAAACTGAAGAACCATTTTAAAAACAGGCGTAGGCCTACAGGCAAATCCGGGGGCCCGGGGTCTCACGGTGTGCGAGGTTATGGAAGTGCGCATGTGAGGGGGACAAGCTGGAGCTACTTAGTGCGTCCTTCGGGGGTCTGTGAGGGGCTACAGAGAGGTGGTTTTCGCGGTCTCTGTCCTGGAGGAGTGAAAAAACCAGTTTGACCCAGTGAGGGAGAGATGCTGGAAATGTATGCAAGCGTTTGAGGAAAAGCTCTAATAAAAATGCCTATTCACTGGGATTCAAAATAACAACACAATATAAAATGAATACATTGAATACGGGAAATCAACCTAAAAAATTGATTTATTTTAACTATATATATATATCATCATCATAGCAAAAGCCAAGGCCGGCCAAAAAGCCAGTTGAGGTAGGTGGAAAAACATGGCAACAGAAGAATGTAATTGTATTTTGAAGACTAGCCAACTAAACCAAGATCAGTGAGGGTACTTAATAGTCAGTAGAAGCTGACTATTAGTAAAGCACTGAGAATGGTAAGCCTCTCAAAATAAGGATATCATAATTCTGATATAGTGTTAGCACCAACA